AGGGTTGCTATGAGTCAGAACAGACTTTATGGTACATAACAAAAGCAATATTCTCTAGAAAAGCATTTTGCCATCGTGAGTCTTCCCAAATTGCCAAGAATATAAGGTGGCTATGTGCTGTTGAGTAGGTTCCAACTTGTTAAGTGCAATTGAGTCGATTCCAACCTATAGCGACCCTATATAGGGCTTCTGAGGAACAGCTGGTGACGTTGAACCATCAACTTTGGAATTCAAACTGGCCTTGCTGTCTAGTGCATTAGCCTGCAGCACCACACGAGGACTCCAACTCATAGTCAAACTAATAGCAACCAATACAGGGTTTCTGAGGTTGTAAATCTTTACAAGAGCAGAAAGCCTCTTCTTTCTCCCACGGAACAGCTGGTATCTATGAACTGCTGATCCTGAGGTTAGCAGCCTGACTCATAAGCACAACGCTACCAGAGCTTATTAAGAATACAAGGGGGCATCAAATATTAGTGGAACAATTCTAATATTTTTTAATTCCATCTTTCCATGAACTTTTTAAAGTCCCCTCATATTGTTGAAATTGGTATTATGATGTCAGGACTCGAGTATAAGGAAAAAGCTGCTAAGATCATTTTTGATCTCACAGATCTCCCCATTTGGCAACAATTGTGAGGTTGGCCCAGGATGGGGCAGTGTTTCATTCTGTTGTGCATAGGGTCGCTATAAGTTGGTACCAACTCACTGACACCTAACAACAACAACCCATAACCCAATGGAAGAACAAAAGAAAAGAGGAGAGTCAGGACGATAATGAGAAGATGGGGTTAGGACATTCTGTAGAAATATATTCCAGATATATTTTTGTTTGATCGAAAAGAGTAATTCAAAGAAATGTTTAAAGTTTAAAAAAATTTTTATTTTCAGTGAAAATATATACAACAGGACATACCTGCATTCAACAGCTTCTGCATGCAAAGTTTAATGACTGTGTTCTTCACATTGTGTCTCCAGTCTCACTTACTTGCCCCATATTAGTTCACCTCCACTGATTTATACTAACTATTCCATAAACTACTCACCTTTGCTTTAGAGCTACTATTGGTGATTTGATCTGATCTAGATCATTCTTTAAAAGTCAGCAATGCTCAAGAAAAACGATATTAATTCAATTAAACTGTTATTTAGTTTGAAGATGACTTCAGAGGGTAGTTTTAGTTCAAGGCTCATAAATTTTCTCAAGACAAAGTCCTCAGTGGGCTCAGTAAGTCTGGATTCAATAAGAAATTTAAAATTATGTCATATATACTTACCTTTTGCATCAGAATTCATTCATTGAGTCTTTGATCAAAATATTCAACAATGGTAACTGAACACCATTCAGTTCTTCTGATCTCATGATAAAGGAAGTAGTAGTTTATGGAGCTCAGGTCCTTCTCTGGTTCCTGGGTTTCCCTCCTTTGCTTCTCCAGGTGAATAGAGACCAATTATGATATCTTGGATGGCCAAAGTTTTAAGATCCAAGTAGTACTCACCAAACTGGAGAGTAGGACAGAAATTCTAAAATTAGTGATAGGTCAATTGGCTAGCTAGTCCACAGAGCCATGACCCTAAGCCTCTGAACCAATAAAATTAATCCTCTAGGTGTTTGGTTGTACCTAAATAGCATCAGCTACTTCATTCTCTCTCTGTCTTCTTTGTTTGCTTGTTGTCTTAGGCTGGGTTCTCTACAAAAGTAAAAATAGTGGTGCTTATATGAATCAGGCTGCGAACCTTAAGGTCAGCAGTTTGGAACTACCAACTGTTCCACAGGAGAAAGATGAGGCTTTCTGCTTCCGTAAAGATTTACAGCCTCGGAAACCCTGTACAGGGTCTCTATGAGTCGGTTCCAACTCC